GGGGGGGCACAATTATAAGTTAAATATGAACCCAACTGTTGCAGATCCGTCCCCTGTTGAAGTTGCCCACAACCCCTGTCACAGACCCTGTCGAAGTTGCCCCATGAGGGGTCAAATTTACACCAACCCCTGTCATAGTTGCCCCAAGTGGGGGTAGGCTATGTTACAAAATCGCGATTGGTTGAAAATTCGGAATGCAAATAGAGTAAAGAACAATCGAGAAGTAAAAGCTGTTTTACTAGACCTAGATAGTCTGCGTTCTGGCAGAAGCAGTATCGGTTACTTTTGAAGCGCTACAGGAAGCTGCCAAAGTTGCCCCAACCTACCCTATGGCTAAACCTCTATCTACCACCTTGACAAGCAGCACAACAATATAATTCTCATGTTAAGGACTTATGAAGAAGCCCGAGGTAAGCGGAGAGCTAAAGAAATCAAATATAAGTACAGTCAATCCTGCCCTGACGGTCACCTCAATAAGACGGCCACTGTACAAACGGCCACTTTCCATTTCCCCACTTGCGTTTTTTCTATATAATTTAACTGTGTAAAACAGGCATCTATCCAACGCGGCCGCGGCCACCATATTTTAACACACAACCCCCATCACACTAAGCAATATATATAACACCTGTCTCTTCCTCATCTGATACATTTCATTTTATTGTCACCCTTGCCCAAAATCAGCAACAAAATAAAATTTACAAACAAAATACAAACACCAACAACAACAACAACAGTGCGGCTACTTTCGAATGGGACCTCAGATGGGAATGCTTTGTTTTCTTCATTTCGATCATTCCTGCCTAACACGACCACTTGTCTTATACGGCCACGCTTCTCCTTGACAATGGGTGGCCGTTTTACACAGGTTTGACTGTACAATCATGACTGGTTTCGAGGGTGGATCAGGTGTTTTAAAAGATAAAAATGACAGCGATTAACAGCACCGCTACAGCACATTAATAAATAATCTCATAATGTTTCATAAATAATAAGGAAAAGTCTCATTTGTGTCATTATTAGCCTAATAGGGTGGGGCATTTCGAATTTGTCTCTAGATCTAGATTCTAGACATAATAGATTCGGTTCCATGCTGATCACGACTAGATTAATTCCAGATAAAAAATAACTTTCATTGTATTTGTTTATGATTGCCACGATAATTTATAATTGATTTGTGATCGTGTTGTTGCACTGCGTGAGAAACATAATATGTAATTGAATTGATAAAAGTATTTAAAAAACACACAATCTGTTAGATTAAAAACAACAACAAGTGCACGACAGATAATCGCTGTCAGAATACAGTACCGTTGTTACAAAGTAGCGTTCGTCAAATCAACAGATCCAGCTTTCCACTTCGCAGTTTTATGGTTCCTCGCTGTGGATCTGGCGGCACCGTTTAGGCTTCCCTACGTCGCTAAGGAACAGTGGACATGTTTGAGAACTTTTCGATGACGTAAAGCACAAAGATAAGATATAAAAAGTGCTACCAGTATGATCTTTTATTTTTAGCCACGGAACAAAAAAAAAAGGCTCACAATGTTTCCCATAAAAGATGCAATAGTAAACCGGACAGACTTGCCTCATTCGCCCTTCTCTCTCTCTCTCTCTCTCTCTCTCTCTCTCTCTCTCTCTCTCTCTCTCTCTC